TGACACGCCAAACACCATCACAGTGACGCACCCATTACGTTGTGTTGGCTGATGTGCAGACTGTTAGGGATTGTGGAGGAGAAGTGTGGCCATCGCTCTCAGCACCCCCCTGCACAGATGGCCCCTGTTAAATGGCAGTGTGGCAGGGCAGAAGCCCATCGTGAGCAGCACTGCGGGAAGACTTTACCGGCTGGCTCTTCCCCAAGAGGTGGTACCTAGACAGGAAATGCAAAGATAAGGAAGCCAGGCAGGGGGAGGGGAGGGTCAAGAGACGACCAGGGTTTGGTTTTCCTTCAGCCTCTCGTGGGAAGGTGCTGCGTTAGCCTTGTTGAGAAGGGAGTAGTGATTTAGACATTCCAAAGCAGTGGGCGATCCCCAAAGAGGGTGCATTTGGCTTTGGAATGAATCGGGGTTTTATTGAAGACACGGAATTTCCCCGTTCTGTTTGCCATTAGCCAATATAACTATGGGGCTTGTGCGGGGCCAGCACACACCACAAGCAGAACTAGTTGGAGCCCCCCTCTGTGAGTGAGACACAGGGAGTTAGGTACGAGATGGTTTCAGAGCCTTTTCTGGCCATTGTTCTAGAGGGGGCTCAGAACCTTCTCGGCAAACATATCAGTTATCTATTGCTGTATAACAAACAGCAGTGGCTTAAAACAACAACAATCATCGATGTTGTCCAAAAATATGTCGCTTGGGCTGGGCTTAGAGGGGAGAGCTCACCAAGTTCCACGTGGCGTCCCCTGGGGTGGCTCAATACAGCTCTGGAGGGGCCATTTCCCAGGTGGCTCGGTCACGGTCATGTGGCTGGCAAGCTGGGGCTGGCTGTCAGCTCGGCACTCCGCTGAGGCTGGCTTGCTCTCCTTGCGGCCAGGATTTTCTGACAGCATGGGAGCTGGGTGCGAGAGGGGGCCAAGGAGAAGCTGAATCACCTTTCATGGCCAAGGCTCAGAAGTCGCGTGGCATCACTCCCATAAGCATGCCAGTCACTAGAAGCGCGTCACAAAGCCAGTCCATACTCCAGGGGAGGGGACTTAGACGCCACCCCTTGATGGGAGGAGACTCAAAGAGGTTGTGAACTTGGCTTAGAACTGCCACAGCGGGAGCACCTGGGTGGCTCAGTCCGTTAAGCACCTGCCTCAATATTCAGCTCGTGTCCAGGGTCCCAGGGTTGTGGGATCAAGCCCCATGTTGGGCTCTGTGCTAAACATGCAGCCTGCTTGAGATTCCCTCTCTCTCTCTCCTTCTGCCCCTCTTCTCCATTTGTCCTCCAGCGCTCTCTCTCTCTCTCTCTCTTTCCAAAAAAACAAAAAACAAAACAAAACGAAAAACACCTCAGCAAATGGTACCTCTGACATCCACCTTCATGTTGGGTACTATCTCTGACACCTCCCTTTCTCTTGCCCCTCACCCCCCATCCAGCCAATTACCCAGACTTATAGATTCTACTACCAACAAATATCTTCAAATCTTTTGTCTCACACCTGGGCAACTGCACCTTCTTGATTTCCCTGCGTCCACCCTTTCTTCCTATGACATTTAGGATTAGGGTCAGTTGCATATGACAAAAAGTTCCAATAACAATGGCTCACACAAGATCAAAATATACTTCTCTTTTACATAAAAGAAACGGATACATAGCTGTCCGGGGCTGATATAGTGACTCTGCGATTCTCAAGGATCCAGGCTATCTATGTTCATTTTGCTGCTCTACAACACTCAGCCTGCCCTGGTCCAAAATGGCTGCCTAATCACCAGCCATCGCTTCCACATTCCAGTCAGGGCAGAAAAAAAATAATGAAGAAGGGTACACGCTGTCCCTGTAAGGATCCTTCCCAGAACATTCTCCTCATATTTCCTTGACCAGTCACATCACCACATCTAGTTGCAAAAGAGGCTGAGGATGTAATGTTTATTCTAGGCAGCCATATGCCTCACTAACATCCAGAAATCCATAACTAGAAGACACACTTCTCTGAATCCATCCACACTTCACCCAGAATCATTTTCCTCAGATGTGTATGTGAGTATCTCACTTCCCTGCTCAAGGTCTTCAATGGTTTCCCAGTGCTTCAGGATAAAATTTAAATTCCTTCAGGGGCGCTGGGTGGCTCAGTCAGTTAAGCGTCCGACTTTGGCTCAGGTCATGGTCTCACGGTTCGTGGGTTCGAGCCCCGCGTCAGGCTCTATGCTGACAGCCGGCTCAGAGCCTGGATCCTGCTTCGGATTCTGTGTCTCCCTCTCTCTCTGACCCTCCCCTGCTCACACTGCCTCTCTCTCTCTCAGAAATAAATAAAACATTAAAAAAAATTTTTTAAATAAATTACCTAAAATGGCTCCAATGTTCCTGCCATCTGGCCCCTTCTCTTTCCGCTGTTACTAGCATATTCTCTTTCATCTCAAGGTTTATTCAAGGTGTTCCCTCTGCATAGAATCCTCTCCCACCCTCTCTCTCTATGGGTTCATTCTATCCATGCTTTAGGCCTCAGCCTAGACCTCACTGTCCTCCAAGATTTTAAGAGCTGATGCATGTGTTTTCGTTTCTTTTAGAATCGGGAAGAAAAATGGAACCTTGGGGTTTAAGAAAATGTTTGACTTTCTCAATATTAATAGTACCTACTTCACTAGGGTCTTGGAGTAAATGAAAGAAAACACTACCTGTGAGGGGCTTAGAACAGGTACCGCTCAATAATTATCACCTATGATGGTTGTTGTTGTGGTGGCCAATGTGTCCTCTCTTTTCTAGAGGTATTTTCTCTTGAGAGCTGATCTTGCAGAAGAGAAGAGATTACTGACTCTCTCTGGCCCCAGAGATTGTCTGTGCTCCCGTGTCGCTTCTTTTTTGAGAGAGAGAGAGAGAGGCAGAGGGAGAGAGAGAACATCTTAGGCAGGCTCCATGCCCAGTGCAAAGCCCGAATTGGGGCTTGATGTCAAGAACCATGAGATCATGAGCTGAGCCAGAATCAAGAGTCAGACGTTAACCTGACTGAGCCACCCGGGCGCTCCAAACACGTCTCTTCTTATAAGGGCCCTGATCCCTTTATGAAGGTTCCACCCTTATGGCCTAGTTACTTCCCAAAGGGCCCACCACCTGATACCATCCCACTGGGCATTAGGGTTTCAACATATGAAGTTGGGGGGCGGGGGGACAAACACGTCCATACTAGGATCAAATCCTGAATCTAACCCTTACCTACACTCTGAAGACTTCCAATTCCTCGGTTGCAAAATGAGGCTCATAATGGCACCTACCACGTGCGCGCCTGGGAAGATTAACCAAGCTACTGCACGGGAATTACCCAGCCCACGCTCCTCCCACCTATAAACATTCCCGAAGGATGGAGCGCACGTGAATTGGACACTCACAGACTCAAGAGGTGCAAAAAACGGAATGTTCTTTAATCTTCTTTCTCGGAGCTCAACTCCCGCGCTCTCACCCCTCTGGCCAGTAGACAGTGGCACCTGTCGGACAACTCTGGTCACGTTTCATCATGCCCAGGCACCTAAGAATTTGGCCCAGCCCCTCCCCACCCCCGGGGAGTCCAAGGGCTTCCTGGGTACCCAGGCCACGGTAGTTCAACAACCATCCACCCTGGCTTCTGCCAGTCAGTTCTGGTCGTCATCTGGGGGCGGAAGCATGCTGTGCCCTTGGCCATGGTCTAGCCACGTGGGAAGGTGACCAAGTTTTAGCTCTGAAAGCTCCACGTCCCAGAAAACTCTGAGTCCCAAGCAAACCAAGATGGTTGAGCCTATCCATGCCCTCTTCAACCTCCAAGATGCTCGAGGCATCTCAAGGCTCTTAGTGATCCTTTCATCCTCTCGGGTTCTGGTTGGGGACACGGAGGGCTCCAGGCTGCTGGTCCCGGCCCCGTGCTCGGGTGTCCAGGGGCTCTGGGGACTGCCCGTCACCACCTACCCCAACGGCTCCCTCAACCAGAGCGTCCGCTAGGCAGGCAGCCTGGAAACACAATCTACAGACACCAGTGGGACGCCTTCTGCCCCGAACCTTTCAAGGCTTTGGTTGGTAATCTTCAAAGCCAGGGTCTTAGAGCTTGAAAATCCCCTTCTGAGCCACAGTGCCTGACTCTAGCCACCCCCACTATCGTTGGCTATCCCCACTATCCTCTGTGCTGGGAGTGTAACTTTTTTTAATTTAATACGAGCCGATAGCATTTACTGAGGGCTTCCTGCTTGCCAGACACCGTTCTAGTATTTTACACCTATTGGTTTATTTGATCCTCATGATCTCTTTGTGTGCTATTACTGGCACCCTCACTTTAGACTTGTAACCCCGAAATACAGAGGGACTAAGTAACTTGTCCAAGGTCACACGGCTAGCTGCTAGGTATGGGGCAGGGGCTGCATTGTGGCCAACTGGGCCCCAGGCCCCTGTTTTTAACTCGTTTTGTTTTCTTTCGTCAGTAGGTTGGGTTCACTGTCTTTGTTCAGACACTGTCTTTGTCTTCTTCTTTGTGAAGAGAAAGGCGCAGGGGTGGGGTGGAAGGTCGCGGAAAATATGTGTAACATCACAGTTGCGGCAGCGTCATGAAATGGTGGAAGGAATCGAAAAGGTCAATGAGGGCTGATCTGATTAATGCAGCATGAGATTGGCTCTCTGCAGGGGGGCGGGGGGGGCGTGATGGCGACCAAGGTGCACGAGCTCCAGCACTTTCACTGCCTGCCGGGCTCGCCTCCTCCCCAGTGCCCGCCTCCCCTGCCCCTAGGACGGCTCAGTCCTTTCCCCCATGGCCCTGAGGGTCTCCCCCTACGGTCCCCCAGCCCGTGCCCGTGCAGCCCCTCACACTCCACGCTCCAAAAGTGTTCAGACCCCCCCTTGCCGGCCTGGGGTCTCTCCCTCCGCAAGGCCCATCTTGTGCACACCAACTCTGGTGTCTCCTCCCACCATCAGGGCCTTCCTAGGTCTCATCCTGGCGGCCCCCCACAAGAGCTCAGCAGCCTCCCCCCTCCCGGGGTCTCTCCCACCGCCCCCCCTGCAGGGCCTGCCCACTCCCTTCCTGCGCTGCCCGTCGCAGCGACTCCTGGACCGTGTGGTCCGGCGCTATGCTGAGGTGGCCGACGCTGGCAGCATCTTCATGGACCACTTCACGGACCGCGACAAGCTACGTCTGCTCTACACGCTGGCTGTCAACGCGCATCCCATCCTCCTGCAGGTATGCAGGGACCTCCCCCCCACCCCAGGGAGGGGGTTCGGGTCGGGCTCCAAGGGGGCCGCCCTGGGCTTAGCTCTCTTCCCTTTTACAGCAAGCCTTGGGGCCACCTCCTGGAGATGAGCCCCACAGCGATGCTTGGAAAGGAGAAAAGGGTGGCAGTATCTTAGATGCTCATCAAGAGGGGAATGGGCAGGGGCGCCTGGGTGGCTCAGTCAGTAGGGCATCCGACTTTGGCTCAGGTCATGATCTCACGGTTCGTGGGTTCGAGCCCCAAGTCGGGCTCTATGCTGACAGCTGGGAGCCTGGAGCCTGCCTCCGATTCTGTGTCTCCCTCGCTCTCTGCCCCTCCCCTGCTCACGCTCTGTCTCTCTCTGTCTCTCAGAAATAGATAAAACATTAAAAATAAAATTTAAAAAAAAAAGAGGGGAATGGGCAAATAAATGAGGGTGCACTAGAACTTGGGGAGTCACTGATCGATGAGGCAGTCATGGTGGCTCCCCGTCTTCCAATCCAGTGGTGGAGGAAGACCCTGAGCAGGTCAAAAGCATCCACAGACCATGTGGAGCCCAATCGCATCCGCTTCCCCCAAATCCCAAGAACCCGGACACTCACACCGTGAGCACAAAGGAAACTAGGAAGTGAGAGGAAGGAGTGGAAAAGGGAGGAGGGCTAGAGAGAGGAGAGAGAAAGAGGGGGGCAGAAAGAGGAAGAGGAATAAGGGAAGGAGGAGAGAAGGGAAAGAAAAGACATGGAAGGGCGCCTGGGTGGCTCAGTCAGTTAAGCATCCGACTTTTGACTCTTGATTTCGGCTCAGGTCATGATCTCGTGGGTTGTGAGTTCGAGCCCCACGTCCAGCTCTGCACTGACAGCGTGGAGCCTGGTTGAGATCCTCTGTCTCTCTCCCTCTCTCTCTGCCTCTTCCCTGCTCCTGCTCTGTCTCTCTCTTTCAAAATACATAAATATACATGAAAAAACAGTTAAAAAGCCAAAAGAAAGAAAAGAGAAGGAAAGGGAGAAGGTACAAGTTGAGAAAGGGGAGGGGGAGGAAGACGCCACAACAAAGACACTTCATGTTTATGGTCACAATTAATTGGATATTATTAATTTCATCATTTTAACTTAATTTTAAATATAATCATATCCCGTTATCAATTATGCACAATTGATAATTATGGGTATATTAATTATATTAGATATTCTATCACATAGTATGAGTTAATTGATATATTAATATATTTATTATATATAACTATTTATTATATATTGTATATTAATATATATTAATCATTATGTATAATATGTAAAATATACTAATAGAATATTATATAAATAGAAAATATATAATATATGAGTTATAATAATGCTATATATTATATTATATATTAATAATTATAATGACTTGCTATATCATTGTTAATATATTAATGTGTAATTTACTGTATGATTAATGTTGCTATATATTAATTATACATTACATATAATAATATATATTAATCATCAATATAATTATTCATATATTCATGACTAATACATTGACATATAATGAGCTGCTCTGGCTTATCGAGTACCTGCCAGATACTGGATATCGTGTTGAATGTTTTACACCACGACCACTCGACAACCCCACAGAAATATTATTATTGTCCCCTTTTCCAGACGAGGTAGGTGGGGCTCAGAGATACGAGGTGACATGACCGCAGTCACTTAGCTAATGTCAGCAAGGGGACCCAGACCCAGAGCCGTGCGACTGCCCGGTCAGGAGTCTTCCCGCTAAGACCTGCCTAGTAACGTCGGCACAGTAAATCCTAGAGAAGAAGGAACTGCCGCTTGTCCCACACCCTCGACGGTCTTCTTTCCCATCGTCCTAACCTTGGTGGCGGCAGCAGAGCCCGGAGAGGCCTGGGATGGGACCCTCCATCCACCCTGGGCCCCGCCCAAGAAGAGCCTGGGTCTGCCCGAGCCCGGGATGACTCCATGGCTCTGTGGCTGGGGTGGGGGGCGGGACCCCCGTCTGTGGCACACAGTGGGAGAGCTTCACATGTGGGTGGGTTAAAATGGGCAGGAGGCTGTGGAAAATCATCAGAGAGGCGGATCAGTTCTTTTTTTAAAGAAGGAAAAATAATGGTATTTATACTTCCTGCCATTTCCCCCTACTTTAAAGAAACACCATCCTAGGGGCGCCTGGGTGGCTCAGTCGGTTAAGCGCCCGACTTCGGCTCAGGTCATGACCTCACGGTTCGTGGGTTCGAGCCCCGCGTCGGGCTCTGTGCTGACTGCCGGCTCAGAGCCTGGAGCCTGTTTCAGGTTCTGTGTCCCCCTCTCTCTCTGACCCTCCCCTGCTCATGCTGCTGCTCTCTCTCTCTCTCAGAAATAAATAAAACATTAAAAAATTTTTAAAATAAATAAATAAAGAAGCACCATCCTAGGGGCACCTGGGTGGCTCAGTTAAGCGACTGACTCTTGATTTCGGCTCAGGTCATGATCACATGGTGCATGGGGTTGAGCTTCACGTCAGGCGCTGTGCTGACAGTGAGGAGGCTGCTTGGAATTCTCTCTCTCCCTTGCATTCTGCCCCTTCTCGGTTCATGTTCTCTCTCTCAAAATAAATAAAAAGGAAGGAAGGAAGGAAGGAGAGAGAGAGAGAGAGAGAGAGAGAGAGAGAAAGAAAGAAAGAAAGAAAGAAAGAAAGAAAGAAAGAAAGAAAAGGAAAGACCATTCTAGAAACAGCTGCTTCAATAAATAGTTAAGAAAAGACCAGCAGGATTCCCTCTTCCCTCAAATCCACAAGTGTGGTGCTGTTATGAGGACACAAAAGAGATCACTGGGGGCTGTGTGCTTCCCTAGATCAGTGTCAGGCTGTTGGAAGGTTCCAGTAAGTTGGGGGGGGGGGGCGGGGGCAGCATTTGTGACTAGGTAGTTACCCAGCCAGGCAGATTCACCCAGAGCCAGTGGCGTGGTTCCTAAAACATGTGCCACCAAGGGCCACTTTCATGATTTTTGCTCTATCCCAGAACCTGGTGCCTGCGCTGTTATTTTAAAATATGGCTCAGTCGGTTAAGTGTCCGACTTCGGCTCAGGTCATGATCTCACGGTTCATGGGTTCGAGCCCCACGTGGGGCTCTGTGCTGACAGCTCAGAGCCTGGAGCCTGCTTCAGATTCTGTGTCTCCCTCTCTTTCTGACCCTCCCCTGCTCACGCTGTGTCTCTCTCAGAAATAAATAAAACGTTAAAAAAAAATTTTTCCTCTGGGGCTCAGTTGGGTAGGCATCCCACTCTTGCTTTCGGCTCAGGTCATGATCTCCCAGTTCCTGAGTGACAGCCCCGTGTCGGGCTCTGCGTCAGCAGCAAGGAACCTGATTGGGATTCTCTCTCTCTCTCCTTTACTCTCTGCCCCTCTCCACTGTCTCCCTCAATAAATAAACACTTAAAAAATATTCTCGTCTTTAACTCAGTTTCTTTTTTGTTTGTTTGTTTTGTTTTACCCCCATGGCCTCTTCCTAGGCAGTGGTGTCCTGAAACCCCAAATACTCTCATCTTTTTCGACTTCAACTCTTAAAATAAACAGTCCTCAATCGCATCTAAAATCGCAGCAAGTGCACGGGCATTCCTGTCCCTCGCTTGGGGAAGCTGCCGAAATGCACCCACCCCATGGAAGTAGAGATTCCCTTTCCGGATCCCTTTGGCACCAGAATAAAAGGGACGCTGGGTCCCGGCAGGGCCCGGGGGGTAAAAACATGGGTTGAGACACCCGTCACTGACTCGTCTGGGGGCGGAGGGTGCCCGGTAAGGCCGATCCCTCTGGGCGCTGCCGGCCGGTGAGAGGCAGGGGAGCGGGTGTGTCGGGGAGTGATTGAGTGTTTCTCTCTGGTCCCCTAAGGCCTCCTCCTTCCCACTTCCAGATCTTTCCCGGCGCCGAGGGCTGGCCGCTGCCCAAGTACCTGGGCTCCTGCGGCAGATTCCTGGTGAGCACCAGCACCAGCCCCCTGCAGGGATTCTACGGCGCGGCCCCCGACCAGGCGGCAGACCTGGCTTACCAGCTCCTCGGGGTCCTTGAGTCCCTGAGGAACAACGACCTGAACTACTTCTTCTACTTCACCCACGTCGATGCGGGCACGTTTGGCATCTTTAACAACGGGCATCTCTTCATCCGGGACGCCAGCGCCTTGGGCGTCATCGACAGGCAGGAAGGTACCCAGCGAGGGCTGGCAGAGGGGAAGTCGGGGTGACCGGAGGCAGGGAGGGGGGCCTGGGTGTGGGTGGGGGCGCACCCCTGGGTCTTTCCAGTCTCTGGGTGTCACAGCGAGAGCAGCCCAAGGTTGCGGGGGGAGGGGTGTCAACGGTCCCGTAAAACGGCCTTCTCCTCCTTTCGGGTCTGTGCTCCGGCTGCATCTCGAAAAGGGAACTGACCTTGTGCATGGAGGTAGTTTGCATCGCGGTTCCGCCCCGACTGCACCCTCAGGGCGCTGCTGTTGACCCCATTCGGTCAGGGCATGCTGGGACCTGCCCTGCCCCCTCTTTGCACACACACCACCTCCGGATCCATCTTCTCGGAGCCTTGTGTGGCAGATGCTTCCGGCCCTTGCATCTGAAACGTACATATCTGGTTGATTTCGCTGGTGCGCGCTGCCGTCCGGGTCGGCGCTTTTGCTTTTCCAAAAATGTTCAGACCAAAAAGCACGGCATCAAATGAGGTGTGTGAGTGAGTGAATCATGCTTCTCCCCATCGGCCCAGGCTCACCCAGGGTTCTAGAACTCTTTGAACATCCCAGTCTCTAGCAGTGACCGAATTTTCTGAGCCCAATCAGAGGACAAAGGAGTTTCTTCTCTCATCTCCGACTTGGCTTCTATGAGCAGGCCTGCAACGAAAGGCCAGTTAAACCACACTCGTTTCCTGATTGGCCTTTATTAAGAAGAATCAAGGTATGGGGTGCCTGCGTGGCTCAGCCGGTTCGGCGTGGCTCAGCCGGTTCGGCGTCCAACTTCGGCTCAGGTCATGATCTTGCGGTTTGTGGGTTCGAGCCCTGCATCGGGCTCCATGCTGACAGCCAGCTCAGAGCCTGGAGCCTGTTTCAGAGTCTGTGTCTCCTTCTTCCTCCGCCCCTTCCCCACTTGTGCGCTGGCACTCTCTCTCTCTCTCTCTCTCTCTCTCTCTCTCAAGAATAATAAATAAACATTAAAAAAAAAAAGAATCAAGTTAGAAGACATGAAGCTAGTTCCAGAATATTGGGGACACAAAAACTACTGCACTTGTCGGTCACACTGAATGCATATTCTGAATCACCTATTGTTTCTCCCATGTTGTTCTCGGCCGGGACCACTGTGTCCCCACCCTCTACACCTCCCGTCCGGGACGTGCCGGAACACTCCGCCATTCACCCAGCAATTCTAACCAGCGGCGGTCCCCCATGGGTTGTAGGGCGACTAACATCTCCCCTCTCTCTTCCAGGCAGCCAGACAGCCGCCGCCGGGCCAGAAGAGAGTCAAGACATCTTCAGCTGCCTGGTTTCCGGCTGCCAGGCCGAGCTGCCCTCCTGCTACGCCATCCCCGAGACGCAGAGCCTGGTGCTGGTGTGTCGGCAGGTGCTGCCTCAGCTTCTCCAGGGCAAGTTCCCCTCCCCCGTGCAGGACGAGATAGACGCGGCCCTTGCTCAATGTGGGGAGGATGCCAGCCCTGCCCCCGAAGTCCTCGGGGCCGCCAGCCGCCTGAAGGACATCTTGAGACCCCTGAGAACCTGTGACCCCCGATTCGCCTACCGATACCCGGACTGCAAGTACAATGATAAGTTCTGAGGGGCCCTTGCTGGCCCTCGGGGACCACATCCTTGCCCCCTCCCCTTGCCCAGTCGCGTTGTTGCAAGGTACAAAGAGGAAGCTGCTTATTGGCCTTTCTTAAGAAGAATCAAGTCATGGGGGCGCCTGGGTGGCTCAGCTGGTTGAGAGTCTGACTTCGGCTCAGGCCATGATCTCTCGATTTGTGAGTTCGAGCCCCGCATCGGGACATTAGGAGAGATGTGCGCTCATTTCCCAGGACCCGAGGAAGACGCTGACAGCCAGAGGGGCATTGTGTCACACGGTGTGATTGTCCCCTGCCGGCTGCCACGACGTGGAAAAGCCCCGGGGCCGGGCAGCGGGAGACGCCAGTGTGGACACTCACTGGACTTCTTGGAGCCTCAGTGTCCCCTGTTGTCAGCCAAACTCATGGGTGCGTGAAAAAAGACAGGGATGTGAAGGGCCAAGGACACGTGCCGGTGGTTACAGACAGTGTTCCAGAAGCATGCACAGGCCGGGTAAAGGAGACAGAGCCGTGGAGGTGGAGGCCGACACGGAGGGAAGGGAGGGGGAAGGTGAGGCCAGGCCTGCGTTAGACTCAAACAAGAGGGGCCCCCTTCCTGCTCGCTAGCCCCCCTGCTGTGCTCCCCACACTGCCCCGGGGGGAGGAGACGCACGGACAGGGCCACACTCTGGGTGCCCGGGGTCCCATGTGCTCGTGTGAGGCACCTCCTGGCGTGGGGTGGAGCCGGGGCTGAGAAACGATGACAGGTGGGCTGGGGGGGCCGACGTGTTCATCCAGGAGCTGCGAGAAGCAGGTGTCAGGACAGGGTGAGGTGGCCGAGAGTCGTATCCAAGAAGACGCCCGCGCGGAAGGCAAGAAGGAGGTACTGCAAGTCTGAGCCCAAGTGAGGGAGGGAAGGTCAGTGCGCGCATTGTGAGGCCGGCAGCGGCACAAGCTAAAAACGACGGTTCGGCAAGGCCGCCAGGGTGTCCTGGGGGACAAGCCAGCCATCAGAGGAGCCCCGAGTCTCCCCAGGCTGGATGGCCCTCATACCCCCGCTGCACTCGGTCGTTGGCAGGAAACGGCCCTCGGTGAGTGTGACCTTGACCTAACTACAGAGATGGATTTCCAAGTGCAGCGCAGGGCCCGCTGAGAGCTCAGCTCCCTGGAGTAGGGGAGCGGGGGCGGGGTGTGTGTGTGTCTGTGTCTGTGAGGACACTGCAGCCCCAGCCGGGGCCGCAGGCCAGCTCTGTCCTCACCAACAGCCCCTCATGCAGGAGGCTAAGGAGTCTGAGAATGTCCATTCCAACTTGGCCTTATAGGTCATTATAAAAATTTGGGGGCAGGGCGCCTGCCTGGCTCAGTCCGTTAAGCATCTGACTGTTGACTTCGGCTCAGGTCATGATCTCACAGTCTGTGAGGTCAAGCCCCGAGTCGGGCTCTGCGCTGTCAGCACAGAGCCGGCTTGGGATTCTCTGTTTCCCTCTCGCTCTGTTCCCTTCCTCCTGCTCTCCTGCTCGCACCCTCTCTCTCTCTCAAAAATAAATAAACGTTTAAAAAAATATTTTTTCAAGGTCAGCCAATGGAACATACTTGATTTGACAGTTTGTTAGTTTGCTTTATACCTTTGAAATATTTAGTCACGTGCTATGTGGGCCCCCGTGTGTAGCCCCGCCCTGGCGCCTCAAACCTCAGTGGGGGACTCTTTGGACCTTTGTCCAGCCTCCCTGTCAGCCCCGTAGGGACCTCCCAGTCGGCCCCCTCTTTCCTCCCGCTGAATCACCACCTTTAGCTCAGAATGCCTGACTTAACAGGCCTCGCACTGCAGACGGGGAAACTGAGGAAGGAGGAGGCGCCCAAGGAGGAAGACGGACTTGCTGAGATAGTTCCAGAACTCCTGCTACCAGACCACGCCCTTCCTACCTTCCCCTTCAGCTGCTGATTTTCACCCTGTCTTAACCGCTTTGGGTGCCTTCCTTCACACTTGAAAGTGGGCCAAGAGAAGTCCTATTTTGTGGTCCACTAGACTGGTTCTTCGAGGCACTATCCCCCACCTCCACCCCCACCCCCAGGGCCATCACAATAGTGAGGATGACGGGCCAAGCTTCCGGAAGGGCAGGGTTGGGCTGCCTGGGAGTCTGAGACGGTTGCCTTCTGGCTTGATCTGAAGGACAAGGATTGACCACATTTCCCAACACTGCTTTCAGCCCAGTGCAACTGATTTTAGACTTCCGACCTTCCGCACTACAAGATGATACGTTTCTATCGGCTTCAGCCACCCATTTTGTAGTAATTTGTTGTAGTGGACACAGGAAACCAACACCCCCTCCCCACACCAAACTCTGTCTTAGCATCTGCCCTTCAAGAACCCAAGCTGCAATATTCCCCAATGCCAGTCTGCAGTGATGGGCTCAAAAGCCAGACCCGGCCATGAGGAAGTGTGCTCTGCATCTGTACTCAGGGCCAAGGCTCGGATGGTTCCATTCCTCCCCGTACGAAGTCCCACACATCGTTTAAGATCCTGTCCTGACTCTTGTCTTGACCCAGAGCTTTTCCTCACAGCCTGGCGCCCAGCGAGCCCTTTCTGAGTCCCATCTCTGTACCCCTGACCCATAGGTCTGTGCCCCATTTGAAGCTAATCCTAAGGATACTGCAGAGAGACCTGTGTCCTGTCCCGCCATCCGGCCGAGGGCTCCCTCAGGTTGGGGGTGGCATGGGGTCCTTTGTGTTCCCCACAGCAACCGGGCGGGGCACAGCGCGGGCGCTTGGAAAATGGTCTTGCAGACGATCATGACTGCATTCTTCAGCCCTTTTGGCTTGGTGCTTGTCACATCCCATGTGCTCTAGATGAAATGTTGGTGTGTTCCCCGAATTCCTACGTTGAAATCCCACCCCCACCCCCCAGTGTGATGGTATGAGGTACTGGGACCTTTGGGGAGGTGTGGAGCCATGTGGAGCCCTCATGGGTGGGATTGGTCCCCTTCTAAAGGAGACCCCAGAGAGCCCCTTTGTCCCTTGTGACGCATGAGGACGCAGTGAGAAGATGGCTGCCTACGAACCAGAGAGTGGGCCCTCACCAGACACCAGATCTGCCGGCGCCTTGATCTCAGACTTCCCAGCCTCCAGAACTGTGGTGAGAAAGAACTCTTTATTGCTCACCAGCCCCGCATCTGTGGTATTTTGTTACGGCAGCCCAGTCTGTGACATTATGCTGGCCATCTACAGGACACAGGGGCTTCCTGGAGAACGGCTCTTTCCCTCAACGGCCAGGAGACAGGTTAAGTCAGCACTCAGGAGACTTCAGCCAGAAAGATATCATTCTGGTACATTCTCCATCCTCGGGAATCTTCCTGGAGGCATCAGAGTGGATTCCTGAGTTTTGCTAGCTGCCACCTTCTTGCCTGAAGGACCAGCTACGTAATTTGGGGGGAGGGGAGGCTAGTAGAAAACGAAGCAGTGGGCCCTCCCGTTATTAAGATTTGCAGGACCACAGAGCATTAAATTAAGTGCAGCCCTGTGAGACTGCATGGCTTGCATGTCCGTGAAGCTGGCCCTGGGTGCTTGAGAATACTAATTGTTGGCCTTGGCATAGAGTGCCCCTGGTGTGGGAGCAGAGGTGATCTACAAAACACTTCACCACCGCCAAGGCCAAGGAACTGATGTACGAGAACCGACTGCGCTGGCTGCAGCTGTGAGGTGGGCAAGTCCTACGTTTTCAAATGAGAACACTGTTTTAGGCAGCTCGCTCCGAGTGACAGCGTTTAGGTCCCTCGCCTCCCGGCACGCTCCTGTAACATCTGACTTCCGCCCGTGAGTGACTCTGTGAGCCTGAGCATTCCCTCTAGGGTTAAAAAGAAATACTTTGTTGGATTTGTGTTCTTTCTGGAAAGATCTCCGGCCCTGGAGTCAGACGAGATCTGATTTCAAACAGTGATTCTGCCAGCTACTACGTGACCTCAGGCAAGTTGCTTAACCTCTCTGAGTCTCCATAAAATGGCAGGGGCGGGGTGGCGGTGGGGAGATCTACCTTTGCAGGGCTATGTCCTGTTTCAATAATAGAATGTGCCTCCAGAGCCTGGCACACGCAGGCATTCTGTAGTTGAAGGGCAAATGTGGGGCAAGAAGAGAGGGCCTCTCAGCCAAAAAGGCTGCAACATAAATAATGATGGCAACAGATTATAACCCATAAATAAAATCAATTCTTACGAGACCATACTGATATAAATAAATACCTGAATAAGTAAATAAATGGCGAAGGCAAGAGCCCTTCCTTACAGTAGAATTCCAACTCACAAGCATAGAAGAAATGGCGAGAGTGGAAAATCACCACTGGGCAAACACCACACCAATAGTTGTTGCAGGCAGTGAGTGGCTCAGTAGGTTGAGCGTCGGACTCTTGACTTCAGCTCAGGTCGTGATCTCACAGTGGTGAGATGGAGCCCCACACAGGGCTCCGCGCTGACACTGCGGAGCCTGCTTGGGATTCTCTCTCTTCTCTCTCTCTCTGTGCCCCTCCCCTGCTCGCTCTCTCTCTCTCTCTCTCTCTCTCTGTCAAACTAAATAAATGGACTTTAAAAAAGTAAAAATAATTGTTGCAGACAAGAATCCCCAGTGGGGGCTGAAACTAGTAGACGAAAGTATGAGAAACAGGGCTTCTGCCTCATCTCAAAGTTATCTTGGCACCAACATACCCATTAAGAACGAAGGGAAAAACAGTAACTTGATGGTGAAAAAACCTGGCGGACACGACCTTAACCAGGTGATCAGGGTCAACATCAGCAGCGATAAGTCACAAAGGCGCCGTGTGCTCCCCACCATGATGCCCTATGAAGGGCACGGCCTCACTTCCCTGGTGTTTTTGCCCCAAATGCAAAACTTCAATAGAATCATGAGATAACATCTAACAAACTGAGGGACATCCTACAATTGGCCGTGAAAGGTGAGGAAGGACTAGAAAATTATCACAGATTGGGGAGGGGTACGGGGTGGGGGGTAACTAATGGGACATGAGAACTATATGCAATGTGGGATCCTCCCCTGGATCCTGACCCAGAAGAAGGACATCAGTGGTGCCAAGGCTTACCAGGAACACACCCACAAGGTGAACAAGTAGGGTTTATCGCTCCTGGGAACCAGGAGAAAACGCACCCTAAGGAGCAACATAAGGTGTCATGAAAAGAGAGGGTCAGAAAGGATTTCTTAGAGGATCAGAGCTTGTTGGGTGAGCTCGGGGAGCGTCCAGGGAAGCGGGGCTGTGCTGTCACGAAGTGGGGGTAAACCCACGATTGCCCACCTCCGTAAATCCCTTCTATGGGGCAGGAAGAACGGAGCAGGCAAACACTGTGCTTAGCAGAGCAGCCGTCACTCGCAGTAGCCAGGACAGGGGCATGTTGGGTTCTTTTTGGTTAAACAACGTTCCTGTTGTTCTTTGTCTTCAGACATGAGTACAGAGTGGCCTTGTTTTGTCCTGCTTCGTTGTGGTCACACAGTGGCCTTGTCTGATGTTAGTGATCTGAGAAATTGTTTACATTCGAGGAGAACACAGAGGCCCAGCTGTGAGGGCCAGGCCAGCTCTGAGCACCGCCAAGGGGAAGGCCCGACGGTGCCGCGCCAGCCCCCAGCCATTGTGGGCTGCTTGTCTGGTTTTCAGCGGGACAGTCGGTGAGATTCCACTAAGGCCTGTTGGATTAGTGCATAGTATCTCATCGCTGTCCATTTCTTCGTTTTGATAGTTGTGCTAGGGCTGGTAAGATGTGAACCTTAGGGGAGTCAGATGGGAATCCTGTCTACTAGTTTGGGACTTTTTTGTAAGTCTAAAATTATTCCAAAATAAAATGGGAGAAAGCAACTCGGTGAATGAGGCAGCCACCAGGTGAGGACGTCGGCTTGCATAGTGGTGCTGTACTGTATGAAACAGAAGACATTGCCCAAAACATGAAAGCATTACCTGTGTCACAAGATGGTCTTGACCATGAAAACCACACGAAGACTGAGTTGGATTAAAAAGAAGACTCGAGGCGTGCCTGGGTGGCTCAGTCCGTTAAGCATCTGACTCTTGATTTCAGCTCAGGTCGTGATCTCTCGGTTCCTGAGATCGAGCCCCGTGTCGGGCTCCATGCCGACAGCGTAGAGCCTGCTTGGGATTCTCTCCCTCCCTCTCTCTCTCTGTGCCACCCCCTGCCCCCAACTCGCACTGTCTCTTTCTCTCTCAAATAAATAAAATAGAATTTAAAAAATAAAAAAAGGAAGACTCCAGTTTCCCAGTTGGGACTTACTCTAGAGTGATGCTCATTGAGTAGGAGCATTTTCATTGTTACTGCTCTTTGCTTCTCTCTTATTACATTTGCCCAAGTTGAAGGTGCCCATACTAGAAGAAGAGCCGTCCCTACCACA